TACCTGACTTGATTTTTGACAAAATGGCGCGCGTTTGAAAAAAAGTGGTCTGATTTTAAGGCAAAAATATCAAATATAATCGTTAATTACTAAAAACTCTTAAATATAAAGCAAAAAACTCAGGTACTTCACTAGAAAAATGTATGTAGAACAAGCTACAAAAAATCAACCCGATTAATCAATTAGAAATATGACTTTCTTTTCTACGCAACTTGAAAAACATATTTTCGAGAAAAATACGATTAAAGATAAATTTCATGCACCCCAAAATAATGCGAAAGATAGTGTTCCCGGGTATAAAACCAATTGTCCCGTATTCTTTAGACTCTAAACTATCATTCAAGACCAAAAAAATATTTTTTGAGCCCTAGCCCCTGGCCTAACCCCTTATCGACGTGTTTGGGGTATCATCCAAACCATTTGTGGTGTAGATCTATAATTTGGGTTATCATTCGTTTATGGTATTTTTATATTAGGGTTATCACTAGAATTTGAAAGGAATTATCCTCAGAATTTCAAAACTCTCTGAAAAAGGTATTAAGAAATGTAGATCCTGAATCCTGAAAATTCCTTCACTAACCTTCAAAGAAAAAAAATCTGAATTTTACTGGTGATGTAAACATTCATGCATGCAATCTTCTTTGGATGCAACTTGAACTCACATGATCAAGGCTAAGGTAATCGTAGTATATAGTATTGTATATATATTGTATTGTATTATTGTATAACAGATAAAAAAAAATCTAAATATTATCGATGATGTAAACATCCATGTGTGTAAACTTGTGTTTCTTTTCTCGCAAACGACAAACTTAAAATGTTGCATGCAAAGAAGAACGTTTTCGTACAATATTGAAATATTACATGAAGTGACTCAAAGCTTTACACGATCTAGGTGTTATTTCTCGTTTTTTTTCCAGAATTTCGGAAATTTTCCCGGTTGTACGACATACAAAACGCTAACTGAAAGAGACTATTTGAAGATTTAAAAAATTCCAACCTACCGTGGCCAAATGCTGACCACTGTCAAAAATTGGTCAGCCCACGACTTATGTTTGACAGTTGTTAAACAAGGGTTACAGACAGTTGCGATTATTACAAAAAATCAAAAAGTATCTTTCAGTTAGCGAATGCTTATTTTTTTAATAATTACTTTATTTGTACAGGCTCAATTGAATAAACTTTACAAAGCCATTTGAGTTAAACATCAAAGTTATAGTACACTAGGCCATTATAGGAAACGCTTCTATAGTTGCGGTACGTTAGAAGCGTTAGGTTCCTATAATTGTGCATGGAGACTCAATACACAACTATAGGAACCTAACGCTTCTAACGTACCGCAACTATAGGAGTGTTTACCCTGCTAAGACAATAGCATTTCATCTGAATCTTTAATTTAGATCTGCGTTCGGAGTCTTCCAAATTTGTCCATGAAAATTCACTCAAAACTTTGCAGGATATTATTTGATCGATCTCAAGTATTTCTTTTAACATTATTTCCCTTCACAGAGATCTTTTCAGAATTCTTCTAACATAAATTTAAGACTCTCTCAGCTATCTGCGAACACTCCAAAAATTCATTAAATTCGTTCTTAGATTCTCCTTCTTCCATAGTTTTATATAAATTCGTTTGAATGATATGTAGCATTCACATGCTATTCACCTCAGAACTATCTTAAAATTTTGCTCAGAATTATATTGGAGTTATCCTTTAAGTTCTTTTGAAGTTCCACTTGGAATTCTTCCTAAAATCATCTAGAAATTAATTTTGAGGTGCCCTTAAAGTTATGCTCGGAACACACGCACTTCTTTTTCTAGGCTTTTTATGCTTCTTTTTCTAACGTTTTCCGGCTCTCAACTTAGGGACCGTATACTAATTTAGGGGATTATATCAAATTTTTCAAGCCCAAAAATGACGGGAAACGACTACGAGGACGAGGACGATTTTTTGAAAAACGTATATAATTTAATCTAAATTTAATATTTTTGCAGCAATATAAACATTGAAAGCTATAGATTGACGTATAAAAATGATAAGCACATCTTTTTGTTTTTCTTCCGTAGATTAAACAAGTCTCCCTTTGGAGAGGGATGGTGAGGGGTGTCCACCGCCTCCCCCTGCCAACACTGGCAAAAAGAGATGATCGCCGACCGCTCAAGTACCAACGATGTGTTTGAAACAGTTCTACCGATTTTTACCGCACTCCAGTTGTTATTTGAAGGAAGGCATCCAGTCGTAGGTTTGGAAATTGCAGCTATTGTTTCCCCTACCACGGTATGTGCTCCTGTCATCGTCGATTTGACGATCTCGAGGGGACACGGGTGGGGTAGGTGCTGCTACTGTACATTTCGACCAATGAGAGATGATAAAACCGATTTGTACCTTCCTAAAAGTTGTCCTAGCTCGCTGTCTACTCTCTGTATGCAATTTTCACACTGCCGTACTCTAAACGGAACTATCAATTCTATACTTTCATCTCCTCCTCATCTATCGTATAATAAATTACCACTTTAGTCTGTTATTTGAAATTAGCATCTTCAACTATGTAAATCGTTGACTTCACGCAGAAATAATACTAAACATATAGTCAAAGTAAATAATTTTAGCTACAGACTAGCTTATACATGCAAATAATTTTTTTACTGTATAAGCTAATCTGCAGTTAAAATTGTTAGTTGGGAAATTTGAGGCCAAATGAAATTTGCTTGAAATTAGGTACTGGACTAATCTTTGTAATTTTTTTTGGGAAAAAAAATATCAAAACACGAAAAAAAATCTCATTTTTTCGTATTTTTTAAAGAAAATTCACGTGCAAAAATATTTGTTGTAATTTATCATGGCATGAAGTTGGACTCAAAAAACCACAAAACATCAACTTTTCGGTTTTTGTGAGAGTCCAATATTGTTTAATGATGAGATAGAAAAACTATTTTTACATGTAAATTTTCTCAAGAATCTAAAGAAGAAATTGATCCTCTTGGATTTTGGATATTTTTTCCAATGTTTTTATAGAAATAAAAACGTGCTGAAAATATATTTTTATTTTCGGGCGGTAATTTTCCCCTTAATTAGATTTTTAGCAGATGGCTAGCAAACCCATCTAATTCACTTCCAAGACGATCTTCAAGCATTCAAGCAAAACTGGCCCCGAAAGGCTAGTATTGGAAATGTTGCCATGTTCCATAGACTCTGCAGTATGACCGACAAAAGAGCGAACTAGCTAAATTCTGATCTTTAATCTGAAATTATTGCTCATTTTCACTCACTGGATTATCAATGTGAGCTGTGTTTTCCTGAGCTGATACAAGAAGATGCTGATGTAGTCCGCAATCCATTTTCTTCCTCAATGGATATGGAAGTATTGATGAAACACAGGATGAACCAATATTTGGATAACTCCTCATCTCGTGATTTGTTCCATGAAAAAGATTTGAACCAGTAGTTCTGGCGTGCCATGTCGTATCCCGAAGTCTCCTAGCAGACATTGAAGATCCTTGTCCCATTTGCATCTTTGTACGTACGTACGTACGAGAGCGAATTTTCAACTCTTCTCCACATTAAAACCATGACAAGAAACAGATCACAAACGCAGCATCGTAACTATATTTGAGATCTACAATAATCGCACTGAACGAGTTGTTGGCTGTTGTTAATATAGTATTTTGGAATAAAACGAATAACTAACAGATCAAATGAATGGTTTTTATTCATCTCTGCTTAATTTATACAAAATACTTTCCAGGGGTCCGCGAAACACTCAAAGGGGGTCGTGGAGCTGAAAAGGTTGGGAACCACTGGTTATATTTTGACAGATACGCGTATTTCGTCTACTACTTGCAGACTTCATCAGTGCCCAAATACTCAAAACAACTTATGAAGTCTGCAAGTAGTAGACGAAATACGCGTATCTGTCAAAATAAATCAACACACTCAACGAGTTCTTCATAAAGGGATTCCGTTAAGAGGTTCGACAAAACTGAAAGTTTGAATAAACATTTAATTTGTTTTAAATTATCTGTGCAACGTATTAACCGTGAAAAAGCACATGACATCTAACAGCTATCCAAATATTCTTTACATTGCAGCTCTTGAAACTTCCAACTATAACCAAGATAAAGTGATGTTTTCAAACAGACTCTAAATCCCAGATAAGTCATTTGATGACTTTGTAAAGAGCACCCACAGCGAATATTCTCAGTCATGGCAAATTCCGGAAAAGGCAAACATAATATAAAAAAAAATAACTTTACACAATAATACACAGGTTGCTTGCTGCACCATACAAAAGAACACGTTTCCACTAATACAACTGAAAGACGGAGAAGGTCTCGTGTTCTTCTCCTGATTCAAAAATATAATATGCATATACCTACATACAGGTTTGTGTAATGAATGTCTCGTCTCATGCGGGCCGACGCACATGGGATAAAAGAAGAGACAAAATGCATTTACACCTGAGCTGAACCCTGACCGTCGGTTGTTCGGTTAGATGTGCCCAACAATCTCGTTTCCCACACCACTGAAGACCTTCAAGGTAATTCAAATTCCGTTCTTATCATCAACTTCCGACCGGGCCAGAAACTCCCAAAATTCAAACTGTGCACACCGACGAAGTGGGTTCCGTATTTTCCACTATTAAATTTTCTCCGAGATGCATTTGTGTTGTTAGAGCTCCATAATCTGCAATGTAGGTGGATGGATGGGTGGGAAGCTACCGCGCGCGCATACCACTATCGTGAATAAAGGGGAAACAACACGATCGTGCCGTTATGTTCACTCAAAAACTTTTCCGCTTTTCTCATCTTTCTTCACTGCACTACTTTTTCAGATTTTTATTTTCTTCTGGGTGCGGAAAGTAACTCGCTATTGACACTGTTGGTGGTTTATTTTCCTAATTTTGTTTGATTCACCGTTAGATTTCCTTATTTTTAGAATACATCCAGAGAACAATAACAGGTATTAAGGTGATTTTCACGATGCACTTGACGTAGATACCCACTTTTAAACCAGGAAAGGAACATCCGTCGTCAACCACTATGCTTTGTAAGTACAGACTCCGTTGGATGACAACAACACGAACACCACCGCCCGGATTGTTGACTAAAATGTTAGTAATAAACAAAAAATTCACTACACTAGTAAAACTAACACGCGCGAATAGAGAAACAACGGGCGTATAGTAGAGGCGAGCGAAAAAAAAACGATAAAAATACTGCTTCACGGCGGCGTGACAATGCCACCACAATAGAACACGCGACGACGGATGAGGGAACGAGACACGCGAAACGAAATACACGACGTCTAGGCAACCGCTCTTCACCAAGTACGAATTAATACTGAACAGAGAAAACCAGAGAACGAGCAACGCAACGAACGATCATCATCCACCGGTAGCCAGTGATGCCAAATTTCATCGCAAAAAATCTTTTTAATCGGTATCTGGCTGACAAAGATCTGTAAAAAATTCCGTTTAATTTATCTATTATTGTCTAAGTGTGGATTTACCTAAGTCTTCAATGAGTTCGGAAAGAGTTTGATCAACGTTTATAAACTTTAAAAATTACCAAAGTTTGCTTTCTACAGAATTCGTCTTTTTTTAAATCACGAAATCATTGATTTTTTTAAGTGATTTGTATCTTTTCTAAAAGTTTGAAAATACAAAACATTAAGTGATAAATCTGCTTCCGACTGAAAATTTCTTGGGTTTGCTAAAATGGCTTGTTTACGTAAACATGAAGAAAGGGAAACTAATATCCCTTCCAACGAGACATCTAAACATCTGAACATGAGCATATTTTATTTAGTGAAAAAAAAGTTTTGGTTTTGATGCTCATAGATTGAATTCAAGCTGCTCAAAAGGAAGAAACGATTATTAATCACTAAAAAAAGGGTAGAGCGCTTCTTCATCGTTATCGCCCATTTCCGTTCTATTGATCAGAAAAGATCAATAATATCAATGATTAATGATTTCATTGTGCACAAATCAATAATAGGTTAGTTCATTAGCTACAACATAAATCCTATAGGATATTAGAGCGCATTGTGTGAATTATAACGCTCTTTGTTCTCAAAACAAAAGAAACGCTCCTAGCGAATCCCCTTTTTCTACGTTTATCGGTAGGACGAAGCAAATCTAATGGCGTTTCAATGCGTTAGGACGGAATTGAAACTCGTAGGACGAATTTGGAATCCTGCTTCTTGATTAGATTTTAAACAATATCTCAACAATTTGTGACTCTTTATCAAACCAACGGTACGTATGGGAAGGTGAATAAATTTAGAAGTTATCTTTGGTAGAAATATTCCATTTTTTTTTCAAATCCGTTCAAAAAAGAGAGGTAAAGCGCGGGTTTCTCTTAGTAGGACGGAAATTGGATCAAAAACCCTGTATTCTCCTTTTTGAAAAATCTGTATAGGGGAGATGCAGGTAATGTCGGCCTAAGTGTCCCTAATATGGGCCCATACATAAATTCAGCAATCGACTAAACTTTCAATAGCAACAAAAAATATCCATTAGTAACGTCCCAATAACGCGTTCATCTAGCTAAAATTGATAAATAGCAGATTTTTAGCGATGGGCCCAATCTTAGATCCATAGGCCAACATTACAGACATTTCCCCTATTTTTCAAAAATCTGTAATCTGTACATACAGATATCTGTATCAAAATATTGAAAACAATCTGTATGGTTACAGATAAATCTGTATATGTGGCATCACGGCCGGTAGCGGTAGGAAAACACTAACGAAACGGAGCTTTCGGAGCTTTCGCTCTCCCGTTATAATCGATCGTATGACTCTCTCCTCTCTCCTCCATTGGATGATGCAAGGAAGGTTGCCAAAAGTTTTTCAAAAATAACTGGCAAAATGTACCCAAAGAAGGAAGAAAACTGGATCTAAATAAAAATTTGATTTTCCTGCAAACATGCAAATTTCTTAACATTTCAAGATTTTGAGTAGGGCAAATGTCGGCTTCGGCACGCATTGAATGGCATTATGTCGGGGACCGTGCCCTAGGCGGGAGATAGAAAGGAGACACAGTAGGAACACAGACAAACAGACATAACTCTTAGAAGAAAATTCTTCGAAAAATATCGTCAAGCGTATTTTGCATGCACACTAGCACCATCTATCATCCACATTCCCAAGCATTGATGTGCAACTAGAGCATCTCTCGTTCATGCCATTTTTTCACCAGTTGCTTTTCCCTCGTTCTGTCAACGCGTCAGCTGTGTTGAATAAAAACAAAACAGATGGAAGTCAGTGATGTCGGTTCTACTAAATTTTCCGTAGATCTATAGAATTGATTGAATTCAGCAGAAATACGGATCCGTAGGAAAAATTCACAGAAGCTAAGGGATTTGTTTTGTTTGTTTAGTGTGCTTCTTCTTTTGCTGGCAGCAAGTTTTTTAACGAGGTAATGCATCACTAATAGTGCCCTTTCTACCACCGCTCATCACTTTAAAGTGTGTACAGCAAAAAAAATAAATAATATGTATCAATCAATGAAATTCATGGTGAAGTATTGAACATCAATAACTGGTTAAAGGGGTAAAAGTTAATAGAATATTACAGTCATCAACATGATTTGTTCCCGAATTTTGTGTTAATCGTGCAGCGTAATATTAGGAACGGAATGACGTGCAGCACTTCCGATGTAATATTCAACAACTATTTTTTCTGTATTCGTCAGATATGGTGTGTGTCTCCAGTGGGATGCCTTGACCACTTATCATTGTCAAGAGCTGACATCTACTATCTAGATGTGAAAAAGAACTGGCATCACTAATAAGTTCGAAATTTGGAGGCTTGCTCAATGCTTCAGTGGCGCCACCATGACAAATGCAAGCACATTCCCAACTAAAACATTATATGCGATGAATGTGATTGTGAGTGTTATGTCTGTTTGTCTAAGGTAGGAAGAAGTGTTAGTTTGTTTACTAAAATGAACTATGCCCATTTTGTTATGGCAAGTTTTGCTATAAGAAATGCTCCTTGTGTTTATTAGCGAAATTCACATCAAAGATTGATTAACTGCGTACGAAATCAGTTTGGCACGGCATTTGTGACCAGCGTACACCTTCTGGTCGTATGAAGCAAGTCAAAAACTGTCAAAATCCGCCCATATTTTTTTTTGTTTTGAATTTCTGTATGACAAAATAGTAAACTTTTCGTGAACATTAACGGTAAATTCTTAAGAACTCACCAACACTGGGAGACCATGACCCTAATAAAAAATAACCATAAACGAACGATAACCCAAATCATTGAACTATTCCATAAATGGTTTGGATGATACCCAGAACATGTCGTTAAGCAAATTAACCATACAATTTTTATTAGGGGAGTTCCTGCCCACCTGTGATATTACCCGCCTAGGGTCGGGACCTAACAGGAACAAAACATGCCATAACCAAATGGGCATAGTTCATTTTAGTAAACAAACTAACACTTCTTCCTACTGTGTCACCTTTGTATTAGGCGCCTAGGGCCGGGACCAACGGCTATACTTCCCTTCCGAAGGAAGACGTGACCAGAGATTTTTATGCCTCATAAAAATCCCACCGACCTCGACTGGGATTGAACCAAGACCCATCGATGTGAGAAAACAGTCACGCTTACCATTACACCACCGGCGCCGGCCCTCTAACCAGGTGGGCCTATGCCACCATAAGTCGTTCTCGAGAGTTTCCTTCGGAGTGATTCCGCGTGAAATTAAATCAGCAGGATTGGTGCTTCCCGAAACATTTTAAACAATTTTCGATGAACATTTCAAATGGTCCTATCTGCTTTGATCGATTCTCTTCATCGACTTTCTCTTTCGTCAATAACTCAGCTGCAAAACCTTTCCCTGTTGTATTTGACGTATCCCATTCTAGGCGAAATTCCAGTACTACACTATGTTTGTTTTGATTCGCTATGAAAATTTGACAGATAAAATGAGGGGTTCGTGGATTCTGAGAGCTGAGCCAAAAAGTTGAGCACGTTTCTTCGGGACGTCTTAGAGTTACCTCTATGGTGATATCATTGAGGTAACTCTAAGACCAGAAGGTCCCGAAGAAACGTGCTCAACTTTTTGGCTCAGTTCTGGTACTATCTTCGGTACCAAGCTAATCGATGCACCCCTCGAAGCATAGGAAAATTCAAGAACCCCTCATTTTATCTGTCAAACTTTCATAGAGAATCAAAACAGACATAGTGTAGTACTAGAATTTCGACTAGAATTGGCAACACTAAATAACATTAAAGATGACCACCCTTACGAAGAGCAATGACATTTATATAAGGTCCGGGCCAACAGGTGGTGTTGTAAACATTGAGATTGCTAAATTGTGATTATTTTTTTTTATTATTAATCTATTTGATAAGGCTCAACCGATTTATCTTTACAGAGCCGAGGATTCTTGGTCACTATTCAATACATCTTAAACCTATAGTCAAAAGTGTTGTACAATAAACACTTTATCTTCCGCTATCCAAAAAGCCTCCTCCATCAGAACTAGAGCCGCTTCCAGCATTTTCATCAAAGATGAATACTAAGATGAAACTGTCGGATGAAAAACATTCAATTTTAGTGTCCTCTTTCACGGTCCCTTTCATCCAATGAATACCCCCAGTATGCAAGGTAATTTTGTGGTTTAGCTGCCCCCTCGCTTTTTTATCAAAACAATCACACCAAAATCAGAGATGTCCCATTTTTTAATTACTCGATTAACAACTAATCGATTATTTTTTGTTCGCTGTCCTGTCATTTTTCCACCAATGAGAGTGCAAAACTTGTTTAAAACGATCGGTGATGATCCTCTCAAGAAGTTAATGCTTATATCGGCAAGATATAACCGATTACATACACGAAACGAAAATCAATTATTTTATCCATATGTTTCACTTATACATTTTTGCCAAAACATCAGCCTTATACATTCCATAAGACAAACCACATAGGCCCTATAAGAATGCATAAAAGGTATGTGTGACCGCTTATACATTTCATTTGACACATAATCTTCATTAACTTTTTGCAAGGCGTCTGCTTATTAGTTGACTTATACATTTTATGAATAATCAGCAATAGAAATTTGCCAAAAGGTATAAGGAGATTTCTATCCGTGTATATTTTACTGTTCGGTTCGTTAATCGATTTATCGATTATTCGAATTAAAATCGGCCATCACTAGATGAAAATGAAACGTCATTTCAAATATAAGGAACGTATATAAATAATGATACAATTTGAAAGGGACCGGGCTAGTCACAAATTAAGTCCCCACGGTAACTGAAATAAACACGAGTGTTCACCGGTTGGTTTCATTGTATGGCAAATTGCAGCAATGGACGCAAAACGTGGTCAGCACTCACACACTCATCACGAAACGGTTGCTTTCCAAAGTCGACGACGCATCGACCGAAAGAACTGCTGATGAAGAACAATGAGGAGGACCACACAATGGTTGCTGCCGAGAAAACAGACGATCGCGTAGCACTATTTAGAGATCTCCAAGCGCAATCTCACGAACATTTAAGTCCAACGTTCATATATAAAAATGAAGAAGAAGAAGAACCAAAAAGGTATCGCGATATCACAACTACTTAAAAAGGTAGCGCGCGGTCTCACGCACACTTTTGTGCATCTGGAGAACTCTATAACATAATTTTACACACACTAGCGTATACCACAAACGAAGTGACAGACGACTTACTGGCGAAGAAATCCATTAAAATAATGTGGTTCACTGTAATAGAATTTTCTTGGAAGCTTGTGCCATCATCCACCAGATGGGTTAGTTTTTTTGTTTTGATTTGAACAAAGTTGATTTTGTGTACAATGATTCTTTGACAGTGTGCAAAGAGTGCGTATCATTTTGTCATTTTTTTATGCATTTCAGTTTTGAGTAGAGTGAAAGAGATAGAACCAAAACATTCTAGTACATTTGGTTAAAATGCTAGTTCAATCTAGTAGTAGTGTTGCCATGTGGTACAATCCAGTAGTAGTGGTGTTGCCATGTGGTACACTGAAAAATTGCAATAGCAGGTTAGTCACCAAAGTTTTCGAGCCGCTCCGTCTGTCACTTCGTTTGTGGCGTATACTGTCATGTGCACGGTAAGACTCAAACATCCATTTATGAGTAAAAGAGAACCCATTGTCAATAAAAGCGGCACCACTAATTAATGATTAATTCATAATGCCTATTAAGTAGTAACTGTTAGCTACACTCAAAATAATCGACACGTCAAAGTTACGTGAAAAATCACATAAGGTATATCGTTTCCCTATTCTGTCAGCTTTACGTGACTCACGTAGCATATATGTGATACCACTTGAATATTAAAGAAAATTTATGTTGGATACTCTAACGCTCCCAATGAAATTTACTTGATTTCCACATAGACAATTTCTATGTCCGGTTAACGTAAACCTTACATGGTTTCCACTTCTGAAAAAAAAAACAATGCGACACTCAGCATGGTGCACAACATGGCGGCTAGATACAGAGATGTTTTCGTTATTTTTATAAATTAATTTCAAGATGTTAGTATAAGATACGAGTTATTTTTCCCCATTGTCAAAACTCACTTTATTATTTTATTATTTTTCACAGGTAGGTGGCAAGCAATCCAGCAGTTCCCCGCCGAAAAATAACTTAGATTATCACCAACCTTTAGGTTATCACCCTGCACCTGATTGGAATTATTAGTGTTTCATCGGATTTCATTGCGACTTTTTTATTGAATAAAAGGGCATTAGTCTGATATGTTGTGAAAATTCATTATAATAATAAAAAAAAAGTATATAAGTATCGCCAATAACAATAGTACTTAAAACCACCATGACATTCATTAGCAAAATCACGTAAGTTATATGTGATACTCATGTGACGTTGAAGCTTGACGAAATGAGTGCATCTATAGGCCTGTATAGAGATCTAAGCGAAGCGAAAATCTCATACAAAATACTACATTTTTCACCTGCGCGAAAAACGCAATTGGCAAATATTTCGCTTCGCTTTGAACTGTAAACAGATACGATCCAGCGAAATCTAATTTTGTGGATCGCATCTTTTTCGCTTACGTTTATTTTTTTTCGCGCATGCAGCGCTCGCGAAAAGAGCAGCCGCTAAGCGAAAAGTTGACGTTTCGGGAGAGCGTATCTGTCAAATTTTCACTTAACCGGAGGTGTAAACTGATCGATTTCGTTTCACATGAACTGTAAACTGCGAAAAAAGGAAACTGGAAAATGTTCCACAAACATTTTTTCACAACCTTTTTCGCTAGCGAAATTTCATGACTTTTCGCGTGCTTCAATTTTCGTTTCGCTTCGATCTGTATACTAGGCTTATATGAGAATCACGTAATTCTTATGTGAAAAGTACGATGGAAAAAATCTACGTATGTTTTCACGTGGCATTGACGTGAAGATTATTTTGAGTGTACTGTTAGCAGAAACTCATTGTTGTTAAAATAATTTACTCATTAATGAGTAAAACCACCTTTATCAAAAATGGGTTAACCTTAACTCACAAAAGGGTACTTGACTGTTACCGTGCAAGCGTAGCCCTAATAAAAATTGTATGGTTAATTTGCTTAACGACGTGTTCTGGGTATCATCCAAACCATTTGTGGAATAGTTCAATGATTTGGGTTATCGTTCGTTTATGGTTATTTTTTATTAGGGAGGGTTTGTTTTCGTTTTGTTGTTTATTTTTACTTCAGAATGACAGTTCTTACAGCAAACAAAAAATTTCTCACAGCTAACAAAAAATTTCATTTCACTAACACACGCAAATCGCACCAAAACGAACCCACCTGGAGAGGACTACACTTCAAACAGTGAGATTTACGTCTCTGCCAACAGCTGTTTCATATAAAAAGATAAACATTGCAATGAAATACGAACGCCACTAAACATTTGCACATTTCACTAACACCAATAAGCTTGTTGGCCCGGACCTTATATAAAAGACATTGAACGAAGAGAGAAGAGAGTGAATCAAATCATTCGAGTATAAAACATGTAACAACGTAACCGTGTGCGCGACATAAGGAGAAGGAATAATAAAAGTTCGAATTCTGTGCTGTGCTGACCCCGACGTGATCGCCGATCGCCGTATCCGTCATCGGTTCTCGGTAATAGTTGCGGTTTTCGAGTAGTTTCAACAATTTCGCGCCACCATGGACGAAGAACTTCACAAGGCACTCCCGGCTGGCAGCAGCCAGCACATTGCTACCGTAGCCATAAAACTTCCAGATTTTCGGAAATGCGATCCTGAGCCATCTGACGCGTGCCCCAGCTTGGTGGTGGCACAAAATAACAACAACGATTACTCAGGATGGCGCCTACTTGGTACCAGGAAAGTATGGAAGGCAGACTGGACCGAGTATGATGCCCGTAAATCTTGCTTGCTAAACAACAACAACTACAATAACAACAACAATAACAACAACAACAACAATAACAACAACTACAATAACAATAGCAACAACAACTACAAGAACAACAACAACAACTACAATAACAGCAATAACAACAACAACAACAACAACTACAATAACAGCAATAATAACAACAACAATAACAATAACAACAATAACAACAACAACAACAATAACAACAATAACAACAACAACAACAATAACAACAATTTTGGCAACATCAAACTTTACAATTATCAAAACAACGCTAACCGTAATTGCTACCACAACAGTGATATACATCGCAGTAACTTCAACCACACTAACTATAACAGTAACTACAACAACGATCACAGGAATGTTCACTTCGTCAGTCAGAATAGAAACAACCTGCTGCCTTCTGATCGAGAGCTTCTTGCGACACCGAATAATCGACCCACAATGCAATGCCATCGAGGGGAAATTTTAAACCCCTTCCCGGCGTGCGATGTGTTCCCACGTACCGTTCCAGCGCACTTGCCTAACGGAATGGCTGCAACTGCATCATGCGAGGACTTCGTGTTTTGTACGGAATTGACGCACCGCTTGGAGGAAGCCAATGATCCGGCAAAAGCCGACGTTATTTAGGACTTGACGAGTTCTCTACAACAAGAAGAGGTAAATAGTTTTAATAATTTAAATTTGTCGACTGAAAGATTGGTGTATTGCCAAAATTTCAATCGTATGAAGAATCCGACTAAGATTAGGTAAATTCCATCGTACAAACACTATGCCAAATTTGCCTACCTATCGACCCACCAACTCATGAACCTGGGACCATCGGCTTTACTTCCGTGATCAGAGATGTTATGCCTCAGAACATCCCGGCGGCGCCGACTAGGATTGAACCCAAGCCTGCTGGGGCTAACCCATTATGTTTTGTTAAATGTGTTTCCGGAAAACTATTTTTCAGTTCTAAATAGTATCTTGTTAGTTATTCTAGATGGACCGGAAAGTTGTAAAAGAACCGCGCATTTTGTTTTTACGAAAATCGTTCACAACTAGCAACTTGATTATTCCAGCAAATATGTTCACGATCAGTGCCATTTGAAAGTGTCTTGAATGAATAATTTGCGAAAAATCAATGGTTGAATTAAATTCATAATTACTAATTCTTCTTTCTGTTTCTCTTTATATAGATATTCCACTAAGTCGCCGATATTCATCAGGATTGATCAATCTTATTTTTCACGGGTATTAGGGTGACTTAATAAAAATAATTATTAAGCATTAGAAACAGAAAATTGTATTTTGTTTTCAGTAAAACTATATCAAATAAAATGTTTAAAGTTTTATCAACTGAGTTAAACTGAGATTTTTTTTTTATACTAAACTACTAACTGCAATGCTGAATAAAAAGTCAATTATATCACGTGGGAAAATCACCCCTATTCTGTATTTCGTTTCGAACGAAATTCTCATACAAAAAAATCCCCCCCTCTCTCTCACCGGTGAGGTGACAATAGTCACCTCGTGTGAGGTGACTCTCCATTTGATTTGCATGGAGAGTCACCTCACACGAGGTGACAATTGTCACCTCACCGGTGAGAGAGAGTCACGTGACTCGCAGAATAAGGGGGAATATTTTTTTGTATGAAAATTTCGTTCGAAACGAAATACAGAATAGGGGTGAATGTCTTAATCGATTAAACTGGATAATTTTAACCACTCTCTTACCAATGTGCTTCTGTTGTTATGTTATGAAAGCTAACCAAATTTACTTACCGGGTGGGACAGAATGAACAGAATTATTGTGAAAAGGATATTTTAGCTTCTTCACACTACTGTACTTCTTTTCCATTATCCGAAACAACAATTTTAGGAGTTGTCATCATTACCGAATGAACAAACAGGTTCGACAAATCTTCAACATGTTCAACAACTATTATAGTCTATCATACGACCATTACCCAAACAATCTACTTCGCCTTCTGCTCGTGGAGCAACCTGTGCGTCCGCGCCAAACTGAACCCATTCATTCCGACCTTATCCTTCACGTCGGCCACCGTCTTCTCGGCGATGGTCCTCGCTCTGTCACAGCCCTCCTCAATAATCCCCGCCAAATAGTCCGGATCGGCCATATACCTTTCAATGCGGACCCGAATGGGGTTCAAGTGTTCAACCAGTGCATCAGCCACGTGCTGTTTGTACTGGCCGGTATTCAGACCTTTGGCTTCCTGACAAATCTGCTGCGGTGTCTTACCACTGGCCAACGAGTGGATCGTTATCAGATTTGCCACACCTGGTCGCGTTTCCGGTTCGAACGTCACTTCGGAAGTGAAATCGGTAACAGATTTTTTGATTTTTTCCACAATCTCTTTCCCATTGTCCGTTAGCATGATGCAAGCCTTCGGATCTGGATCCGATTTGGACATCTTTTTCGTCGGATCCCGAAGTGATTTCAGCCGACAACTGGTGTCATCTGGAAATGGCGTTAAATTTTTAATTGGATTTGAGATTGAAGCGGTATTACATTTACCTGAAATAATGGGTTCACAGGACGGAAACGTCGTACCAAACCTGTTATTGAACGCCCTGGCCAAGGACTGAGCCATCTGCAGATGCTGGATTTGATCCTCCCCCACCGGAACGTGGGTTGCTTTGTACAACATTATATCAGCTGCCTGAAGTACCGGATAGATGTACAATCCCAGCGGGATTTCTTTCAATTTGGCCGATTTATCCTTGTACTGTGGCAAATGGGTTAACCTAGCCATCGTCGTCATGCATCCCAAAATCCACGAGAGCTCCGCATGCTGCGGAACCCCGGATTGCAGGAACAACGTCGCTCTGGAGGGATCTATTCCGCATGCTAGCAGTGTGGCAGCCATCTGGAGGCTGTTGTGCCGCAACACCTGCGGGTCCTGTGGCAGGGTGATCGAATGAAGGTCCACTATGCAGTAGGTTACGTTTTCGCCCGCATCCTGCAGATCAACCCAACGCTTGATGGCACCCAAGTAATTGCCAATGTGTAAAGCACCCGTCGGTTGCACACCGGAAAAGATCTTACGAGGCCACACTGGGCTCTTGAAGTAGAAGAAAAAGCTACAGTTTCAGCAGGGTACCGATGAAAGGATTGGTGAGGCCGACTTACCTTGGCTTGTGAACTGGCACTTCTGTGGGCCAAAGGAAGGATTTTTGAAGTACATCGTAGGATTTGTCGACTCATTTTATGGAGGGAAATGCTTGGTTCACGACCGTAGATTCTGACTAAATGGACTAAATTGTATGGTATAGTAAAATACCACTCATCCGCACCGGTTACGCACTTTTGTCGAGATTTTTTGTTGACATGTTGAGAATCATTCGATCATTGACATACAATTTTGATGATTATAAAAAAACAATGATTTCGCAAGGGGCTTAGCAATGTGAAATATTGTCTGGTAATATAAACGGAGAAACGAAACACTTCAAAATCGAGATAAAAAGTACAGCGGGGATTCCGACTCAAAAAATTGGGTTCTTCAATTTTGAAAAATATATCGTTTATTACACATCATCTCAAAAAGCTCAATTTTCTGAGCACAACGATATTTTTTGTCGATCCCATAGACTTACATCTCAATGTTTAAATCAATATATAAAGCAAAATTATAACTTCACTGTTTGACACATCAAAATAAGTTATGGCCAGCTCGCTCCCTTACACTAATAAAATTCCATACATTTTTATTGACGAATTTCCATGTAAAATTCCACATGATTTTCATAAGACCACACATAAACAGAGTCCAGCCAGAAGCTCACATGAAATTTATGAGTCAAATGAATAGTATGTGTGCATGGAACCAAATTTTGTTCATTTAAGTTAAAAATATTTATATTTATTAAATAAAAATATGAATAGTTCAAAGTAAATTAAAAACATGTTTTCAACAAAAATATGTATACGTAAATTAAATTCAAAAGCATGTTTATTTCAACAATACATAATCTGGGTAATCAATTTTTAGCGTGTCTTTTTTTTCCCTTTATGTTTACATTCGGTAAACTTAACCGAAAACGGCCTGCAAGCGGCGAAACCGAAGGAAAAGGTCCAGAAACCCACACAAGCAAGTGTTCCAAGCTCGACAAAACCGGTGGAACATCACAATATTAACGTCAATTCGTCGTTACTGATGCCGATCCCCATATCATCCTCAACCACCCCCCCCCCCCCCTCCTACCCAACGTCGAAAGAAAAACAGATCATCCCCAAACACCAAACTTAGAAATAGGCTCGTATGAGGACCCAGCGTCAGAAACGACAAAACGACGCTAATATCACAAAGTTTCACCGGTTTCACTGAACTGGATCGGATCGGACACCCATCCCGACGGCCCCCCGGATCCAAACATCCACAGACTTTCCATAATCGCAGGAATTGGGTTCTTTAAGGGTATTGAGGTAAATGCATATTCGTAATCTGCATTAAAAATGGAACCCAAACCAAAAAATGTATCAATTTTGGTACACTGAAACTATTTTAAATAAGTACGATTACATTTGCAAAAATCACCTTATTAGCGCCCCTCAGTGTCACTTTGTATGGGAGCGAGCTGTCAGTTTGTTAGTTTAGTGTCAAACAGTGTAGTTATTATTTTGCTTTAAATCTTGATTTAAAAATCGAGATGAAAGTGTGTGGGTTCGAAAAAAATATCGCTGTGCTCCGAAAACGAAGCTCTTTCAGATGATGTATAAAAAACGATACATTTTTCAAAATTAAAGAACCCAATTTAGATGCCCTGTCTGCAGATTTCCATTTATTTGCTATCCATGTATTTTGTTTTATCCCGCATTCAAATGCTAAAATAATTTCAAAATATGCTTGTTTATTTTAAACATGAAAAGCATGTTTAAAATAAACATATTTATTTTTGATCGCATATAGTTTTCAAATAAATCAAAAAAATTCACGTTTATTTTCAACACGAATATTTTTAAAATAAACGTAACATTATTTTTGTTTTAAACATTACTATCAATGGATTCAAACATGGCATACGTTTTAAATCAACCTAGTTTATGTTTGTGACCAGAACAAACTGAGTTTACGTTTAAATTTACCTCAAATATTTTTGTTTGGCGGTAAATTTTTCTGCGTGTAGGAGTGTGATTTATACCCCGTTCACATTATAAGCCTGGTACGCAGCTGAAAAGTAATGACGTTTTTACGTGCTACGGGATAGGACACGGAATGCTAAAGAAATTTCTTTTCCTTAGCATTTCTTGACCCAGTACGCAGTTCAAAAGAAATCGGTAAAGGAAAGATCGATTACATTAGTATCGTGATCGACATGAAGGTGGCGCATTCTGAATGCAATTTCACTTTCCTTGCGAAATAATGGTCTGATCAATTATTCCGTTAGGTAATGTTGGCGTTTATTGCAAAACTGATGTTTTGGATGCATTTAAACAACATAAAAATTGATAATTGTTGATTTTAAAATTAGACGACACCTACCTATGATCTCAAAATTTAGCTCCCTATAGCTGTCAAATTTACTTTTGGGAATATTCCTCAAAAATTACTTTTCCGTTTTCTTTTCAGCTGCGTACCAGGCTATACCAACAATCAATACGAAACTAACGATTTTAAATGGCTCCCCGAAAAAAAAAACAACAAAAATACATTAAAAAACAATTTAACAAAAAGACGAAAATTATTGTCTTAACAATGATTTATATTGTTACGTCTACAATAAATTTACCTTATTTTATGTTGTACAAAACAATAAATTTCATGGTAAATGGAAAATTTACAATAAAAAAGGGGGGTTGTTAAGTATCTTAACAATGAAATTTTCGTGATTTTCCCATATAATTTTTTTTCAATAACATTATATATTATTGTTATTTTACTGTTGGTTGGCGAATTTATTGATTAAAAAAAATAACAGTGTACTTTAGAGTGTATGTGTTGGCTTGACAGATCTACTTTATCGACTTTAAAAATAAATCGAAAAAATAAAACATTGCCCCGGGAAGGGAAGGGGGTGGTATGTCTGTTACGGGTGGTCCTTTTTTTTACTGGTTATGGATCGAGATTCGATCCGGAACTTGTGAGAAAGGCAGGCCAACTCCCCTGCGCTCGATATCCCTAGGTCACGTCTCCTTGGTGGTTGAGCGTCGTTGATAAGTTAATGCATTCGACTGGAGAGAATCGCCCATGAAATATGCTTCCACCTGAGAGTTCCTTCCTGACATCTTCAAGTGGTGGAATTTTTTATTATTATTGTATGATTATTGACTGCACGGAAAAGGTCTCCATTAAGCTTTAGAGAGGGTCTAGGATAAGATATGAGCGGACGCAGACTGCCTGGTTTTGAGCCAAACGAACTGTCAAAGCCAGAGCCATACGAGCAGCGCCTAAATATCTTGATTACATTGGCAGTGTTGCTGACCCTCTCATAGTCTGCATGCTTCAATCAGATTTATTTTTATTGTTCGTGAAGTAACCCACAATGAAAATACACCAATATTTAATGTAACAACAATTTTTATTGTAATAGAGTTGTTCATTATTGTTCATGATCGAATCATGTTAACAATAAAATAAATGAAAAAACGATAAAAATCATTGTAACAACATTTTATTATGTACATTCATTGTACAGCTAGGTAGCAGTTTTACCGTTTTCGGAAGAGTACAACATTCTAACAATCATTTTTATTGTCGACAATAAATATTAATGTTAGAGCATTGTTTCCACTGAAAATTTCACTGTAATTTTTTTTTCGGGTCACTTCTTGACTAGCTTATTGGTCCCAAGTAAACGATTAACGTACCCCCTCGCGTATCCCATTCTAGTCGAAATTCTAGTACTACACAATGTTTGTTTTGATTCGCTATGAAAGTTTGACAGATAAAATGAGGGGTTAGTGGATTTTTCTATGTTTCGAGGGGTGAATCGATTAGCTTGGGACCGAAGAGAGTACCAGAGCTGAGCCAAAAAGTTGAGCACATTTCTTAGGGACCTTGTAGTCTTAGAGTTACCTCTATGGTTGTACCAACAATCAATACGAAACTAACGATTTTAAATTGGCACACTACACAGCAAAAAAAATGTAATATCGATCAATGTAATTCCGATATATATAGAAACGTCAAAGTGATCCGACGCCAGCGCTGCGGCGAGTAGTTCGCGGAACCGATAACATTCAAACCAATCGTTAAATGCACAAAAGAAGATCTCGAACGAAGAGTTACATCTGTTTATCTGTGATACAAAGTACCATGAAATTTCTGATCAAGGCACAAAACTGACATCTGCCGCCGTGTTTGTGGAAAATGTTTATCCTAGCCACGAACACGCGTAAAAAAGTATGAGTTGGTTCGGGTCCAATCTATTCCGGACAAATTATTTTTATCTAGGTAAAAAATGTCTATGGTTTTGACAGATGGGATCGCTGCACATTTTGATCGGCCGATACGGATTCTTGATCAAGAGTTAAGTTTGAGTTGCATGTCGGTTAGTCGGTGCTTAAAGTCTGGGATGGGACTTGACAATGGTAGCGATTTCGAGCCAATTTGCTGTCAAATCCGAGCCAGTTGCTGATTGGTCGATTTGACAGTAGCAATCATGGAATAAAAAAGACAGGGATTGGCGTCTTACAGTGAAACTTTTCCAAGCTTTCACCACGTACATTTCGAAGTGAGAACTACTAGAAGGAGGATAGTTTCCAAATTTTCCAAGTAAAACAGACGCTTTTTGGGGCAAATCGGTCCATAGAGAAAAACTAATAATTTCCTGTTGAAACTTTTGCTTGAATCGTGTAAGAAAACGTGTTTGAAAACTATTTGTTATTATTTCGGTATGAATCGGAGATATTTTCATGGCAAATTATGCATAACAAGTTTGCACCCACAGGGAGAGGTTACCTCCAGCGCAGCTGCATTTTTCAGAAAATTGTAAATATGTGTGATTTTCACTAAGATGAAAGTGGAAATTAAGTGAATTTACTTAGGAAAGGTGGTAATTCTGGTGGTAATAGGGAATTGGTTGTATAGGACGCCAATATTCAATAAATGTCCATTTTGGCCTTTTTTAAGCAAACATATTGATACTCACAATTTTCGACGGACAACGCACCGGAACTTGATTTACTCAACACGCACCGTACTATAAAATGGTGCTAGATGGTCTTCAAAGTGATAACAAGATGACAAATCATCTTTATTTTGAGTGATTGAGCAATTTTCTTCTGTTTACCATCATATTTACGATGCAGCATTGATGGAGCCGTGAAATGAAATGAATATATCTTATGAAAGTTCACCTGGTAAAGTCAAAGAT